CCGTACTCAAGGACAGTTTTGAGATATTTGTACTTTACTTGGACATTTCCTTATGCTACTAATCAGCTGGTGAACCAGGTGAGAGTGGACTCAAATGCACAACTCTGTTCAGGTAAAATAACATAGTCTTTACTCGTCAAAAGGTAGGTTGGGTACACAGAATTAGTGAAGGCAAACAAATCCAATGGGGGTGAGGCAGAGACAGAGACAAAAAAAAAAAGACACTGGGAAACAAATAAGCTTGAACAAATAAGCTGACATAAGCTTGACCTTTACCACCTCAGCAGTGGTGCATACACATGAATGCACCACTAATTATAACCCAGTAGCATGATATATTATTCTTAAATGAGCCATAGTGCATATTAATTAACCTACTTTTATTTGTGGTACTTTAAGGCTGGATTGCACCAACAAGAATTAACTTCTAAACATGATTTAATCATGGTTTAATTTTAAATTCTGTTGCACCACACTTTAAAACTAGATGAAAATTAAGAAAGATTAAGATTAAGATTAAGATTATGCCTGGTTAAATTAAATTTAAATTTATACTGTTCCATAATTCAGCCAATAAGTTTTTCTCTTAGGAGGAAAAATTTGAGGGTCTCTACTGAGCCATCATAGTAGTAACTTTTTGGCTAGCTAGCAACAGTGAAAGGTTTATTGTCACAGAAAATTACTCCTACACTTAGTTTTACTAAACTCTGATTAGAATTGACCTTAGATTAAATTAATCCTTGTTAGTGCAACCCACTTTAAGTATGTTTTGATGCACATACTTAACTAACACATCACTTTTACTTAAAGGTCTAGTGTGTAGGATTTATTTAGCAGTGAGGTTACAGGACTGAAACGTCTTCTGTGTGCCAAGTGTGTAGGCGAACTACAGTCACTGATGCGAAAATGCAAATGGTCCTATCTAGAGCCAGTGTTTGGTTTGTCCACTCTGGGCTACTGTAGAAACAACAGGAGGAGAGCAACAGGAGTATGTTGATATAAATGGCTCATTCTATGGTAACAAAAATCCAACAATTCTTATTTTCAGGTGACTATACGCTAATGAAAACATAGTTATGAATATTAGCCTACATACTATTCCTGCCAGAGGATGTCACTAACCCATGCACTGAACCTTTAACCTCCTGCAATTACACACACAGATCAATTAGGAGTGACAGACTGTGCTTGCAGACTAAAAGGCCATCTCTAACTTGGAGTAGAGAGCAGGGAAAATTCATACAGAGCTACAAAACAAACGAATCACAAGGCATTGAAATTGACACTTTTGAACAGTTTTAGAGTGACCATTAATCCATAGAGTTACAAAACATTGAACAAAGGTTGCATTGTTACTAATTTTGTTTTTGCACAACAATTTTCAGGCATAAAAATAAATAGCTTTATACTTTATTAGACACTTGTTGTAGCTATTAAAATGAAACCCAAAACCCCCATATGAGGACATATTTCTTTCAAAATTGCTTACTGTTCAGAGACAATGCTTACTTCTTTTATACTTATCAGACCTGCTTACTGCAATGCCTCAGTTAAAAGCCTAGTCCCAATTCAATGCCCAGTCCCTTTTACTCACCTGGTGTAGCTACAAATTTTGACAAATGAAGGCCTGTCTCAATCAAACGCCTGGTCTGGTTTCAAAACAGAGGCAAGTTCTTTGGATATATAAGACCAGATTGTTGATTACCCACTTGAGCTACAAATATAAATGTTTACACTTTTGTCAATATGGAGATGCTACACATCGTTAGCTTGGTTCATTTCGTTTTACTGAAACCACGAGCACCATAGAAGACTGTAAGTCATTCAGATTTTCATGACGAAAAACAAATGGTGGTTTTATGGGAGCCGGTCTTGAAATATCTGAACAGTGACTGTAAGTAGGTCCTGTCTTATGTTATTTTAATTTTATCTATTTTCAGACATATTAATTTTTTAACTTTTGGTTGCTGTTGGTGTCCAGCTCAAACTTGCACTTTCTTTGTTTAGTTACAGCACTTTACCAATTCCGTGTAGAAATCCGCCAGTGATATCTCCAATTCATTTTCATGTATGTCATTGCTGCCGTTTTTTGTTATTGTTTCGGGGGTTTTTTTTGTTTGTTTTTTGTTTTTTTATTTTTGTTGTGCTTTTGTTTTGTCTCGTTTAGCTATTATTATTTTATTTTATTTTTTTATTATTATTTTTTATTTTTTATTTTTATTTTTATTTTTTTCCCATTTCTTTCTGTCTGTTATTAAAAAAAAACGAATAATGATGGTTGCTTTGTAAATAACAAGCATTTCATACAATGTGCACCTTGCAATGAAGAGAATTTAAAAAAAAAGAAAAACAAATGGTGACTCCTTTCTTCTAATGCTGTCATAAAGTCAGAATATGTGTCCACTAAGTTATTTATATTCCTTTAGTGTCCACCAATCAAAAGAATAAATGTGTTTCTCATAAAAAATTAATCCAAGTTATGAATATTGTTTTAACAGGATAAAGTGGTGTTGTGTTGGTATGCCGGGTGCCGTTATCCATGACAAGTGTCATAACATAACACATAAACGATATGTTATTCAAAGCCTGACTTTTATACAATTAATATTCATACTGGTTGAAATAAACAATTTGATCATATTTCCCATCTTTGCTGCCTATGATGTGAAAAGAATTAAAGGCCTGTCCCAAATATAAGCCTGTTGAGTTCTGTCATTTAACAAATAATTGCTCACATTTTTGGAGTTAACATTTTTCGCTTCTGCATGTTTTTCTCCTGTGTCAGGATCTTGTTTGGTGAGACAGGCTTGTTCTGCTGCCTCATGCTATTGAGCTGAAATCATAGTAGACTCCTGCAGAGGGGACTGGTGGCACTGTAGCAGTGTTTCATTTGCCTCTGTTTTATTTCCTTCAGTATCCTGAAAAACCAAACTTGTCAAAGCATTTGACTTGATAAGATGTAAATGTAGGTCCTGTTTAAATCACCTAAATTACCTGATGATGGAGAGCAGCCTGAGCATCATCAGTCTCTGAGATTTCATCACTTGGACATTCCCTCTTCTTGGACCTGAGTGTCCGAAGCTGGGGTGGAGCTGGGGTGACTTAACAGACAAGGACCAGCTCAGTTAAAACAATCACTGCAGCCTTTTAGTGGTGGAATGCAACTAAGTACATTTACTCAAGTGTTAAAGGTCCAGTGTGTAGGATTTAGTGGCACGGGTGAGGTTGTAGAACTGAAACTTCTCTCATGTTCCAAGCATGTAGGAGAACTGCAGTGGCTGACGCAAAACGTGAATGGCCCTGTCTAGAGTCTGTGTTTGTCCATTCTGGGCTACTGTAGAACAACATGGTGGACCCCATGGGTGTCATTTCTGCTAGTAGATGCCCCTAAATCCTACACACTGGACCTTGAGGTACAAATTTTAGGTACTCGTGCTTTACTTAAGTCTTGTCTTTCATGCTATTTCATACCTTTACTCCACTACATTTTAGAGGGAAATATTGTACTTTTTACTCTACTGGATTTAGCTGACAACTTTCCTTGCAAGTTACTTTGCAAATAAAGATTTTTGCACACATAACATATGAAGAGTTTATAAAATATGAATATGAATTAAACTACCTAAGAACATATAGGCCCACAAACACAGCTGAAATCATTAGCCAGTTGACTGACAGAACTATTTTGATTGTTTCAGTTATTTTTCATGCAAAAAAAAAAAAAAAAAAATCCAGCTCCTTAAGTGTGAGGATTTTTCTACAACTGCATGTTTCCCAATTACACTTACATACTTTTACTTAAGTAGCATTTTCACTGCAGGACTTTTACTTGTAACTGAGTATTTTTACAGTGTGGTATTGCTACTGTTACTCACACAAAAGATCTTAATACCACTTCCACCTCTGCCAACTTGTGTGGTAAGCTACTGACCACCCCAGCTCTTACTTGCTTGCTGGTCTGGTGGGTGTACACCGATCAGCCAAAACATTTAAACCACTGACAGGTGACGTGAACAACATTCATCATATTGTTACAATTCAATGTTTTGTTGGGAAACTTTGGGTTCTGACATTCATGTGGGTGCCACCTGACACGCTCCACCCACCTGAACACCAGTGCAGACCAGTTACCCCCCTTATGGCAATGACACTCCTAGCAGTGGCCCCCCAGCAAGACACTGCACCATGCCACACCATAAAAACTGCTCAGGAACGTGACACAGAGCTCAAAGCGTCAACCTGTTCCCCAATTTCCCTGGATCCCAATCTGATCAAACATCTATGGGACGTACTTTTACCCCACCTCATTACCCACAGGACTTAAAAGATCTGAAAGTAACATCCTGATGCCAGGCACCAAAGAACACCCTCCAGAGGTCCTGTGTCCATGCCTTGACAGGTCAGTGCCAAGTCCGGTCCAAGGAGCACCCACCATGGATTGGAGGTACCTCTAGGGCACCAGCATGTCCCTCAAATGTTTGATCACATTGGGATCTGGGGTATTTGGAGGTCAGGTCGACACCTTGAGCTCTTTGCCCTGTTCCTCGGGTCATGCCTGAGCAGTTTTTGTGGTGTGGCATGGTGCACTGTCATCGACAAGTATTGTTGCCATGAGGGGGTTTATTTTGTCTGCAACGGTGTTCGGGTGGGTGGAGCACGTCAAGTAGCATCCACATGAATGTCAGGATCGAAGGTTTCCACAGCAGGACATTGCACAATAACAAGATGATCAATGTTGTTCACTTCACCCACCAGTGGTTTTAATGTTTTGGTTGATTGGTGTAAGTGCCTCCAACACAACAATAAATTTTGAAGTGGTGATTAACCACTGTGTTGTGGTGGTTCACCCTCCAGCTGAAGGTCACAGTATACACCGCTCTGCTCTCTAGGAAACTCAAAATAATGGCCAGTGTATGCAGGGGGCGTTCCGTTTCACTTTTGATTGACAGGGGTAGCGTCCAATAGAATGGCTCACTGGCACAGAGGGGGAGGGGCGCAGAGTGACCAACGTTTCCCACTAGGGTTCAGGGTTTAGAGCAGTTGGGGCTAATTTCCGCTCGGTGGTGGCTGTGAAGAATAAGTAGCCCTCAACTTTTTCTCAGCCGACAGCCGTCGCCATGTCCAACAACAACGCCAGCAACAACTTAATAATCGCTCAACGGGCCGTGAAGCAGCTCCGGTTAGAGGCCAGTATCCGGAGGATCAAGGTAGGAACCCCTCAACACTGACACACAAACACGGAAGACTGAGCCGCTGAATGGCGGAGACAAACTGTTGCAGAAATAACACACAGTGGACTCTTACATCACAGGCTCAACAAAGTGGGCTTTAAAGTTACACACACGACACATTAACTGGTTTCTGGTTGACCACACCGCAGCTACTAGAAAACAGTTCCGTGTTTCAGCGACTGTCAGTGTAGTTTTTACTGGCTGTTTGGGGGGAGGCGTCACCACCTCAAAGTGTCAAAGTCTCGAGAGAAGTGACACGTTTATCAAAGTTAAACCTGTTGGTGTTCATTATCCAAAGGAAACAGGTGAGACCCCCAAATGTTACATAGTAGACACACCCATGGGTGTATTGCGCCGCTGCTTGCAAATCATTATGTAAAAAAAAAAAGAAAAAAAAAGTGTCAGTTATTCAGTGTATGTAAATGAGAGCCTGTCGGGTTGTGTGAGTGTGACAGCAGGCCAGCTGGAGCAGTACAGATACTGTGCACGTGATAAGAGGCTGTTTATGTTTCCTCTCGTCATCATCATCATATGTCTGGCTCTGCAGGTGTCCCAGGCTGCTGCTGAGCTGAGGAACTTCTGTCTGCAAAATGCCTCCAAGGACCCCCTCCTGGTCGGGGTCCCCTCCAGTGATAATCCCTTCAGACCCCCCAAGTCCTGCTCCCTGTTCTGAGGTAGGCCTGCTTTTTCCTTCACTCAGGCCTCAGCTGGGGAGTTAGGCTGTTTAATTCATTTCACAAGGGAAGAAATTAATTACAGCTTCACATGCTGTTTCTGCTGAAAGCAATCTAATATAAAAGGTCTAATATTTCACATGACATGACTTCATTCAAACTCAAGATTGATTTTGAATGTTTCACTTCACCTGCATGCAAGTTTGGGGCTTCAAAAGACAAAAGAGATTTTTATCCTACTCTTGTCTGCAAATTATTGTCTTGATTAAATTATTTATTGTTTTGTCTGTCAAATGCCTGAAAAAAAAAGGCCATTACATTTCCCAAGTTAATGTCCTCAGATTGCTTGTTTTGTCCAACCAACAGCCCACACTAAATATATTAAACTTACAGTTATATGAAATGGAGAAAGACAGGAAAGCCCGACATTTGAGAAGCTAGAACAAGCACACGTTTGCCTTTTTTGCTTGAAAAATGACACAAAATAATTATACAATACAATCGCACAGTTTATTTTTTGTGATTGCAAAAATTGATTAATTGACTCATTGTTTCAGCTCCAGTTATGTTGCTGATTCTGTGCCTCTTAATTTTATTGTGCTACACCCTGCTTTGTACTCTACTGTACTTAATTTTTTATCATGGATGCTAGTGAAACCAGAAGCAAATTTCCACCGCTGGGGAATCTAATTATACTTATCTTCCATCCAAATCTAATTATACTTTAGTTGAAAATAACGCTAAATCAATTAACTAATCAATTAGGCGATCAACAGACAAGTTTTATAAGTCATCTAATTGCTTGAATCAAAAGTACCAAACATTCGATGGCTCCAGCTCTTCTGAGATTGGAGCTTTTCCTTCAGAAGTCATTAGTCTTATCAGACATGGCTGCTGTCCAACGCTCTGTGCTCTTTGTTGTTGTAAAACATATTTTAGTGACATGCATTAGGGTTTATCATGGCCCAAAGTAACAGAAATATTTGCTATTTTACCACTCACCACTTATATGAGAATTACTCCTGTCACTAAGCCCCTGGAAATCTAAAACAAACACCCTAGTCCAGATTAGATAATTGCCATGCTAGGCAGGCTAATGGGGGTAAATTTGTATCGCCAAAACCATGAGCTAAGTGCGGTGAAAAATATATAGAGCTGTAATTCAATGGAACCTTTGTCTTCAGTCAGGAAACAATGAACAGTCTATTCACATTTCCAGTGGTGGAGGAAGTATTTAGATCCTTTACTTAAAGTATCAACACCACACTGTAAAAACACTCTGTTACTAGTAAAAGCTCTGCATTAAAAATGTTACTGAATGAAATAACATAATTACAATCAGGGAAATGTATTTATGCATGAAAAGTAAAAGTACTCAATGCAGAAAAGTTTAAATAAATTTAATAAATACAAATTATTTAAATAAATTAAAATAAAAAACAGCAAGTCCTCATATTTAATAAGCTTGACCCAAAATGCTAATTAATTTTCTAATCAATCAACAAATTCTTCCAACTGCTCGTGTATATTTTTTATAAAGTTAATTTGCAAAAATCTCAATTTGTGAAGTTACTAATAATTAAAGTTATCAACTAACAGTAGTGGAGTAAAAGTATTATATTTTCCTCTGAAGTGTAGTGGAGTAATAGGAGAAAATGGCCTGAGATTTAAAATATTCAAGTAAAGTAAAAGTTCCTCAAATTTGTACTTCAGTACAGTACTTGGGTAAATTTACTAAGTTACATTCTACTGCTGAACATTTCTCATTTAAACAGTATCTCCTGGCTCAGCCTCCCTCGAGTTATATCAATCACACGTAAAACTACATTTGGTAACTTTTATGAAAACAAATTCTCATCATATATGCTGGAGTTGTCACTATTTTCGGACAAAAGTGCATTTGAGAGAGCCTGTGAAACAATCATGCCCCTCCTCCTCTTCCTACTATTTCTAACGGCGTTTGCTAGAATCCTCTGCGGTGCACCGAAAACAGCCAATCAGAGCTGAGGAGTCTCCAACGCAGCTGCCAATCACTACTTGTAAACTGTGTTCTCATTTTACAGCTAAATAGTACACGGTAAAATATGTTCCTGAAAATATCTGAGGTGAGAAACAGACAATGCAGTTACAGGATCTTGATTCATATTTGATCAGCGCTGCCTAGTTTGACTGCAGTTTAATGAGCAGTGATTGACATGATTTACAGCTGCGTTAAAGACTCAGCTCTGGTTGATTTACATGCACAGATATATTCCACTATTATTCTGATTATGACAGTAATTTGAATTTGATACAGGTCGTGTAAACAGCATATTCTGTTTGGATGTTCTGAATTAGGCCTTTTTTCAATTTCCAATCAAGACATGTGGGATATGCCTTTATTATTTGGGTTTTTGGAGCATTCCTTAGACATGCATACAGTGTGTATTCGTGTCTCAGTTGGGGTTGCAAAACACAGCCTCTGATCTGTTTGTGGTCAGCACTGTGCGTTGTCATGGATACGTTGTACACAAACCAACACACCAACATTTTGCAAGGCTGGTGTAGAAATACATGCCCAAAGTTAAAAAAGGCCACATCTTTGGTCAAAAGGAGAAACTCCCACATTATGACAGGCTTGGATGCTGACAGGTTTTTTGATATACGCATATATCACAATGCCGACCTTTTTAAAAGAGGGTTGAAGGAATGCGAGAGTAAGGCTGTGTTCGCACGGTTGGACACATCTGCCACAGATGGAAAACTCTTTTTTTTTTATTGGGGTTTTCAAAGTTAACCAAACCGTGGCAGTAGTATAAAGTGAAAACAGAGGGAAAAATCCTATTTTGGTTGCAGAGTATGCACAGATGCACGTAAATTAGTGGAATATATATTTTTTTATAAGCCATGTAAACAGCTTAGTTGAAAGATTGTAGTTTTTTTAAACAAAGGCAAAAACTGGAATATTTTGTGCATGTAAATGTAGTCAGTGAGCCATCATCCACAATATCAGGACCTTGAAACTGAGGCAGATAAATGGAGTTCAGTCACTACTTTTATTATTTACACCTGTACTTTTCCACCTATACTTTTCCGAAATAAAAAAGTCCTACAATGTTTTTTTAATGTATTCATTTTAAATTATTGATTCATTTTTCCAATTCTCTTTGTCTGTTCACAGCAGGAAGAAAGTTGGAGGATTTCTGAATTTACCCGTCGAAGGCTTTCTTCACTTCTACTTGATGCCGCTGTAGATCGACCAGCAGCTCCTCTTGGGATGATGCAACATGGGACTGATGGGTTCGGGGGAGGGAAGTGCTCGTATTGTTTGCCAAATTTAGTGGTATCATAACTCCCATCTGTTACATTAAAGCAGGGCCAAATGCTACATGTTCAAAAAAAAAAAAAAAAAGTTGTTGACACTAACTTGACTAATGATTAAGCCTTTCTTGGTTTACCTAGTACTTAACATGTCCGGTCTCAATTTCCTGACCTAATGGTGTCTGTGTCCAGTCGGTGAAATTTAGCCCATGTGACTGGCTACTGAAAGTGCAACTTCCTCTTGTATTTAGTGTGGCAGGTCAAACATTAATTTAAACCAGGTGCTGTTAAACAATCAGAACATGTTGTGTTATATACACTGAATTGTACTGTGTGTCTTTACAAAACACTAACTGTGTATGTGGCCATTAGACAAAGTGGTAGCTTTTGGGCTAAATTGATTGGTGTCTCAAACGATCCATGTATCTGTGGCAATGGTAATGGTGTTCCTACTAATCTAAGGTACAGCAACATGGTACAGACTCTCAGTGCAGGGCGTGCAATTGTCCTTTCATCCAGTCTTTTTCCTGTATATATTTAACAGCCTGTTAAGGTTGCTTTCGTTAGCCTATATGTTCCGTCTTTAATTTAAAAAAACACGTTAAGGCCTTACACTGTTTGGAGAGTGAAACTTGATAGCAAATTTAATGTAAATCACTTTAGATACACGAATGGCCAAACAGCAAATGTTAATATATCTGTTCAAAACTTCCAAATATTGTTTGTATTAAATGAATCGTGCTGCAGTGACTTGTTGCATTAATCGTTTTTCACACTGGAGTCATATTCCATTCAACCAAAACTTTTACTACTGTTAGCCTGTATCTTTCTTAACTTTGCTACTGTGGGCAACCTTTTAAAAATTAAACTACTTTTTCGGACACTGACTGATTGCTGTATATGAAATTATTCCTTTTATAGTGTCTTTATGAAACCCTTAAATGACCATTTGTGTATTAATTCCTCACCGTGTGCTGTCTTTCTTGTCAAGAAAAGCTTTGTTTTCCTTACATGCCTTCACTAAAAAACTGCTAACATATTGATTAAGAGGGGTCCATGTTTAACAACAGCAAAATTATATCATTACATGAGTTCGCAAACTCAAACATCTCATGCAGTATAATCCAAGTCTCATTTATCCAGCCATATGCTCAGTAAATCCCAAAAAGCTCTCTATTTTAGACTGAACTGAAAGTGAAACTTCTTTATGCTCTCCTCAAAGCCAGACTACAGTTGAGAGAAATTTTCCTCGTGGGCTTTCTATCAGGAAGGGATCTCTTGGTTAAGGTTAGGAAAAAAGTCGTGGTTTGGGTTGAAATTAAAAGATTTCTGTCAGAAAGAGCTTGCTTGGAGAAAACCTACAAGGAAAACTTGTCTCATGTGCAAGCCAGACTTTTTAGTTTTTCAGTGGAAATGAATGTGTTTGAAAAGTACTGAGCATACAATTGGATAAATGAGATGTGGTTTATACTGCATGAGCTGTGTGAGAGCTTTAATATGCTGATAAATGTGGTCTCCACTCAATCAGTAAATCAGTTTGTTGGCCGTTTTCTGTGGAGGCATGAGAGAGAAACTTTACTTCCTTTAATTGTTTATAAGCCTTCATGACTCGAGCTTTTACTTTATTGATTCTACTAAAACATGAACAGGTGAAAGAAGATGTTACATAGAGATTGGAGCCTCCTTGATTTTATTGGGTTTAAATCACCGCAATGCGGTCATAGTAAATTGAAAGAGGTGTTTTTTTTTTTTGTAGGCCGGTGAACTGCTGGACTGGACTGATATTACTTGGTCAAATAATTACTTTGGTGGACATCTGGCCACAGTCATAAATGTACAGGATAACACCAGGCAGGCTGCACAAGAAGCACAGTGCCAACTCTGGTGTGGTTGTTTTATATACAGACGGGGTCCTGGACGATTTCCAAGACAGAATTATTGATATTTTATTTTATTTGCATGGGAAAAAACAACAAAAAATGTTGGTAATACATGCAAATACATACAAATTAACTGGTCAGGTGACACCACATGCTCACATGATGTGAATTTGGGGCTTGAATCAGTCTCCCTCGCCATATAAGATTTGAAAAATGCTGAGCTAAACCTGAACCAGCTAGACGTGAAACTCTGGGTGTGTCTCAGATATTATCAAGCTTGCTGCGCCCATGTGGCCTATAACACCTCCAGCTCCTTGGGTACAAAGTTAATACTTAAAAACCATATGCACAAGGTAAAGCTTGGTAGGAAGCAGCTGGACTTAATCGTTTGAAATCCTGAAGCTTTCACCTTCTTGCCTGTCATCAGTTGTAATCAGCAGAAGTGCTGTCACCTGGAAATAAAAGAGGCAGCGTCTGTCTGAAGAGGCTTTACTTTTCTGCTCAGGTAAGGCTGATCCATTGTTACTATTGTAATATAGTAGTGTGTATTTGTCATTTAAAGCATACAAGTATGTGTACATATTGTCTTGATGCTGTTGTGATGCACAGCAGCTACATTTGCATGTGAGTAAAATGTCCCCTTGTTGCTGTGAATATGGCACCAAGATGGCTTCCAGGTTTGGCCAGAGGCGAGTTGGAGGACATTTGGAGTACTCTGGTAATACTGTCACATCAGAAGCACAAGCCAAAAGCATCAAACCATGCATGCCACCACCAGTCCCCACCACTCATAATCATCTAATCTGTCCTCTACAGACTCGTGTCTGCTGAAGGAGCCCAGCCCTCTGACTGAGCTCTCTCACAGCACCTCCTGGTGGCCTGACAGGGAGGAGCACAGAGAACAAGGAGACTCCCTCAGGGTGGGTGAAAATGATTTAAATGAAACAGATTAATACTCATAATGCTGGGGGGAACTAAACCTCTACCTTGTAGGAGCAACTTAAAGAGATGGATGAGCATGTGGCCAGGCTGCAGGACATGCTGAGATGTGAACGAGCCAAAGTAAGTTGCAACATGAGCGACAGACATTGTGGAATATGTTACCATCTGAATCCTTTACACTAATCCCCCTCCTCACAATCATCTCTTTTCAGTGTACTCGCCTACAGCTGCATTGTAACCAGCAGGAAGCGGAGCTGAGGCTTCGAGAGCAGCAAACTAACAGACTGAAGGAGCGACTGTCTCAGCTGACCGACAGACTCAAAGGGAAAGGACCCTGTGAGTCCTGTTACAGCTAAATTCACTTACACAGCTGTTCGCTTATATATAAAATATTCACTGAAACCACGCAGCTTTTACCATCTTGCATTTTTCTATCCAGCCATAGAGGTGTTGAACTTTCCACCTGGAAGTCGAGGCAAAAGAGAACAGCCAGTCAGATCATTCAGGTCTACAGCAAAGTGAGCTGATTATTATCATCATCATTTTCTGATTATAGCCTTCAAGTGCATTGTCCACCTTTTCCTAACCCTCACTTGCTGTCTTCACCTTGTAGAAGAGAGGAGGCAGCATTGCGTCTGATGCTGGAGCGCAGAGAAGCAGAGCTCAGGGAGGCGATGAAGCTCCGCCACAGCCTCACCACTTTACTTCATGCACTCAGAGTCGACATGGAGCATGTGAGTAAAAGAAAAGAGCCTTTTTAAATAAGGCTGGTGCTGGTCAGTTACTAGCATTGGGCCCAAGAGGCAATTATTAAATGCTAAGTGGACTTAAAGGTCCAGTGTGTAGGATTTAGGGGGATATATTGGTAGAAATTAAATCTAATAAGTATGTTCTTTCTTCCACATAGTCCACTGTGTTGCACTGCCATGTTCTACAGTACCTCAGAATGGACAAACCACACACTGGCTCTACGTTTTTGTGATGGCAAAAACAGCGTCAGAAAACACTGATTGATTTTTAACGTGAAACTGTTTTATTCAGTATTTTTACCCACCTGGGGTCCCATTAATATACATTGCATACGCACAAAACAAGGCCTGAAAGAGGCGTACACCACTTCCCACGCAAAAGCTGTGATCTATAAAAACAGACTTGATGGCAGAAACTTTGACCTATGCTTACCAACATTTTGGAGACAGAATATTGGCGATGCAGATGGTGAGGTGGAAGCCTGATTGTTGAAATTGTCGAATATTTTTTGGCGCGCACTATTTTTGGCTTTTGTCTGTACGTACATATTAAGCATGGATCCTACGTACTGTTTTATAAATGAGACCCCTGGTCCGTTTGTTTAGATCTCTGTGGATAATTTGGCTCCTGGTTAAAAACCTCCTAAACAACAATGAAGGAATCCCAACCAGGAGTTGATGCTTGGCACATTGGAGAAGGTTCAGCTGGTTGCAATCATCACTCCTGCATGCCACTAAATCCTACACATTCCTCTTTTTAACAACGTTATTTGATGAAACCATCTCCTTAAAGTGCTCATAAAAAATGGAAATTGAAACGTCTGCAATTCCAGAACACTGGCAAAACTCCATCTGCTGAGGAAGATCATGTAAAGCTATCAAAAGCTCCAGAACGGCTGCTAAAATGACCACATGTTGATGTTGTTTTCTCAAGTACTGTTTCCAAAGTCAAGAATGAACTCCAAGTTGCAATGCTGAGTCCAAGATCAGTGTTCAACATAACAATCAGTCTAACCTTTCTTTTTTTTTTTTTAAGACTTTGTCAGACATAGTTTATGTCCAGGACGAGGCCCAGGCCAAGGACAAGAGGCTGGATCAAGCTGAGAAAGCACTTGGTGATCATGTGACGGGAGGTGTGGTTCAGAGTTGGAGGCAGGTGCAGAGGAGACTGGGTGACGTCCCATCTGAAGGTATCAGTCTTTAAAGACTATAGCAAGAATCTTGCTTTCCAGATTGAATTCATTTTTGCCAAACCAATGACTGAGAAGCACTATCAGGATACAATATGTGGTCTCTGCTGACTGCGTAGGCCACACTGGTTTTGGAACCGACCACGATAAGCTCCTGGCTCGACTAGAAACTGAACTGAAGGAGAGTCAACAGGTTGTCAGATTACAACAGCAACTGCTGCAGGTATGACTGGCTATCTCTCACACACACACACGCTTTCTCATATGAACTTTTGCTAGAGTCAGATCTAGAAATACTTTTCTGACTGCAGGACAGTCTTGCTGCACCTGTCCCCTCTGAACTGGCTGATTCCTACTTTTTGGAAGAGTGGGAACGTCTTCAGGTGCGCTGGGCGGAGCTCGATCATCAGAGGCGAACTTTTGAAAAGGAGAGGCAGTCCTTCACCAATGCTGCGATCCGGCTAAGCCATGAGGTGGGAGAGAAATGAGGCGGAGGTTGCATTGTTTTGCAAATGCACCTTAAAGGGCTTTACAGTCTGTACAGTGTGCAACATCCTCTGTCCTTAGATCCTTGACTAGAATAAAGGAAAACTCCCTAAACATTTTTTAATGAGGCAAAAGTGGAGGAAACTTCAGGAAGAGCAAACCAAGAAGGAATTTCTCTCAGTGTACATTTACAGTAGTTTCCTCATACCAAAGAGCACCGTATACTGCCTTTAAAGTCTGCGTGTTACAAATGATATCTTTGTGTCTGCAGCGCCATGATTTTGAGCAACAAAAGGCCTCCCTGCTGAAGCTGCAGTATCTGTCTGACTCACCTCTGTCTGGTAAAGAAGCACCAAGTAGCAGCAGGACAGAGAGCTGTGTTCTCAGTGAGTATGCAGTTACATTAAAGGTTGGAGTGGTGGGAGACTGTTGTGGTTATGTGTTTAAACATTTTACTACAAAAGTCCTAAAAACATTACCTGTTTGTGACTCCAGATTTCTCAAGTTTGGCGCCCACAGGCGTTTCTGGCTGTCTTCCCATCACACCATCCTCCACCAAGTCGGGGACGGCAGCTATTTCTGGATCATGTCAGGGAAGAGTTCAGACTCCCAGCACTCCTGAGCTCTACTCTGCCCTCAATCTGTCATACAGCTGCAGGTTAGTCAAGTGACAGTCGTGCTTTCATAGCAGTAGTTCACTGCAGTGTCTGCTTTGGACGAGTTAAGTCAGGTCTTGTGTGGTGCTGATGCAGAAAAAACAAATACAACTAATATATGTTTTTGTTTTTCTCCCTTTTTTAAATGAATTCTCTTCACACAGCTAATAGTAACCAACAGCCCTCTGCAGAGAAGAAAGGTGGCTGACATTTACTCATATGTAAAGGGCATCTTTACAGATCAGTTTAATGATATGTACAAATAATTTTGTCCATTACCTACTCATTCCTCTCTTCTCCCTCAGAACCAGAGAGCTCCATCACCAGTCAGAGACATGGGACAGCCAAGCAGACAGGATGGTGCACGTGCAACAGGCTCCACACTTAGACTGGTCATTTTAATACATATTATACCTTAATTCCACTTTTTAAAATAATCAATAAAGGCTATTTTATTTTTATTTGGTGATGTTGTTTTCCTCCATAATGCTATGCAATGAAAATATATTTTAGGCTGTTGTAATCTAGGACTTTGCATGCTCTCCCCGTGTCAGCGTGGGTTTTCTCCGGGTACTCCGGCTTCCTCCCACAGTCCAAAGACATGCAGGTTGGGGACAGGTTAATTGGTGACTCTAAATTGTCCGTAGGTGTGAATGTGAGTGTGAATGGTTGTCTGTCTCTATGTGTCAGCCCTGTGACAGTCTGGTGACCTGTCCAGGGTGTACCCTGCTTCTCGTCCAGTGTCAGGTGGGATAGGCTCCAGTCCACCCGCGACCCTCAAGAGGATAAGCAGTTACGAAGATGGATGGATGGATGGATGGATGGATGGATGGATGGATGGATGTTGTAATCTAGCCTGGCCAATAAAATTTTCTAATAGTGGCTAATTATGACTACTGCCAAGCAAGTTATCATGCACTTAAAAAGTGTACAGCAGGATATAAAATACAATTGTCACTTTGCATATACTATATTTGCTTGACACATTGGCCATAACTTAATCTGTTCAAACCAGGAAAGAGTTTAGATTTTAAAAAGTGATCATAATTTGTCAATTGAATGTATTAATCTGTTGTTAAAATAGCATTACATTTGGTGAGGAGCGCACAATGATTTGTTTAGGACTTGGGACTTGATTGAGATTTGTTAGTCTTGACTTGGGTTGCAAAGACTTGAGACTTATCTGTGACTTGCAAAACAATGACTTGGTCCCACTGTTGTTTAAAAGTATCTTCCTATTAAAATGTGAACATCATGCTTTAACTCCCTAAACCCATTATCTATGATTGACTTAAATATTAGAAACGAAACGCCTAAGAAAATTAAAACATTAAAACCATGTGGCTTCTTTGTGCGCACGCTAGACACGTGTGCATGAGGGAACACAATGACATCACTTCACCTGGATTGGAGTAAATGGAGAAGTTCACTGACCTGCACACGAGGAGCATGAGCTCACGTGATTGGCGGCTGCTTCTCACCACTTGTACTCAATTACCAATTACCAACTTCAAACCTTTGTTACGCGCCAAGCGCCTCCTATCTCCTGTCCTTTGCATCGTTATTACAAGGTCAACAACTCCGTCCTCTCACTAAAGGGAGTCTGGCAGACAGGAGGAAAACATTTGGCAGATAAGGTGTTTGAATAAAGGCATGGTTTGGGGGCTCTTTGATCACCTGCCGCGCTTCATGGAGTCGGATAAAAGTTTCCAGCCCTGGAGAGACTACATAGGACTGTCGGACACAATCAGAGAGATTTTGGGCCGGCACACGGACACTGAGTCCTCACTGCCGGCCCCCAAAGCTCCGCACCCAGAATCTGATGACCTGTGCGGAGCACCGATGTCCGTGCGCAATAACGCGGTGTGCCAAAGCGGCGACCTCGGGGCAGGCTGTGCGCCAGATCTCCCCGGTACAGCAACGCTGGCCTCAATGGCTCATCAGCGTCCACCTGATGGTTTGTGGTACGCTACAGACCCCTTCCGTGCTGATCCACCAGACGCGGTGGATATGAAGCCAGTGCCAAGACGTGAACCAAAAGACCGCAAGAAGAGCGCTCGTTTCAAGACACCGGAACCGGCCTTGTCACCCGCGTCACCTGAGCCCACGTTCTGCAGTTTCTGCAAGCACAACGGGGAGTCCGACTTGGTGTGTCGATCCCACCGGCTGAAGAACCAGGCCGGGGATGTTCTGTGTCCCTATCTGCGGCAGTATGTGTGTCCTCTGTGCGGAGCCACGGGGGCCAAAGCTCACACCAAGCGCTTCTGTCCGAAGGTGGACAGCGCGTACAGCTCCGTGTACGCCAAGTCCAGACGCTGAACCAGCAGGAGGCAGGTAGCAAAAAGACACAGAGGGCTGAAACTTCCTTTTATTGAGTGTGGTTTTGTTTATTATCACGTGTGTAGTTTGGGTTTTATTTGCATGCTTTGGCACGTTTGCCGTGTAGCCTTCTCTTAAAGCTGATTGGATTTATTTCCCAGCTGGTCTTTTTGACGGCCTTGCCTTCTCTAACAGCGTCCCTTTTGGGGGTTTTCATTTTGTATTGTTCTTTCAATAACGACTGCCAGATATGTTTGGGAGGAGAAAAAAAGAAAAGACAATGTAAGTTTTATTTTTTTAATGAAACATATTTTAACATGGCCACTTAATATCCAGTTTCATACCTCCTGCCCATGCATTAAAGGATCATCACACTGTCACACCTTTCTCTGAAGACCTATCAGTAATAACTTTAATACACCATGTAAACATCAAGTGACCATGTCAGCATTTTAAAATTATTATTTTTAATTAATATGAGTGAGGTGTTCTTGTTCTGTACCTGTTCCTGAGGCATGTTTGTTTTATTTTCAATATTGTACATGTGGCTCTTCTAAAATGCCGTAAAAGCTCTTCTCACTCTGTGAAAAGAAATGTGTGAATTAATCTGTGTGAATATTATTGTATGCCAGAATATACATAGTGAAAACATCTGTCTGTGTGTATTCTTTGTTATCATTCTCTGTTCTTTAAAAGAATTATAACAAATTTTAAGGGTTAAGTGTGAAGGATTTAGTGTCATCTAGCAGTGAGTTTGCAGAACTGAAACTTGCATAGCTTGTAGAACTACGGCACTGATGCCAAAACACAAATGGCCCTATCTAGACCCAGTGTTTGATATTGTCTGCTGCGGGCTACTGTAGAACAACATGGTGGACTCTGTGGATGAGGATCCCTAAATCCTGCATAGATGTCCCTAAATCCTGCACAGTGGACCTTTTTAAGCAAGCCACTTTCAGTATAGATTTTCTCTGGCTGCATCACTAATTACTTCCAGAATAATACTCAAATTGCTAACTCAATAAACACACAGGTTTATTTGGGGAGAGCCAGAACAGCTAAGCCATTAAACTGAACACGCCAGCAGTCAGTAATACAAGAAGAGCAATAGTCATACAGTGACATTTAAACATTTGTACAATGGCATAAATACCTTAATTACCCACAAACCATTAGGGCAACAGAAAGATCAGGATGGCAGGGACTTGAAACAAATCCTCAACGCACGGAGCTCCTTGAACTTTTACTGCTACGGCGCAGGTTCTCCAACTCTCTGTTAGCGGCCATGACTTTACGACTAGAAGGAAGCAACCAGAGGACAAATGGTAATTATCAGTTTCAATAACTTTTCTCTTTCTACCAGATTTGCATTTGATGAAAAAGTAAGACAGATGGTGTTTCTCAAAGTCAAGGATCCTTCCTTCGTAGGACAGGTTCTTCCAAGGAAGGGTCCTACAGAGGAAAGGCAAGTGTCCTTCATAGCACACAGGTGTGCGTCATTAACCCTTCCAGGACTGATGGGTGTCAGGGTACTGTGATCATTCTGGCACTCTCTAATGTTGTACAATTTGAACAAATGTTAGTAGTTTTTTCAGAGTCACGTGACTTTTAGGGAGAATATATTTCTGGATTATACTTCAAAAACCCAGGTGGGCTAAATGTAACTTTTGTAAAAAGTAGTTTTAGAATTCTGCTACATTGTGGGCACTTAGTGCTCCATCACTGTTGTAAATGATAAATTTAAAAAACCTTTTTGTTTTAGCCTGCCAGCAAATTGTGAGTAAAGAATTGTGGGCGCCTTGTACCGAGGATACACACATGCATCCTTGAAGTTCCTCTGAAAGAAGGAATCTGTTCTTGGTAGAATTTAAGGGATCCTTGACATTGGAACAGTCCTTAGGCTGGATTTGATGACACAGCATCCTTGAAATGCAGCCGTTTCAGGATCTTTCCTTGACTTTGAGAAACACCCAGATTTAGGCCAGCTGAAGAACAGTGTGTAAGATTTAGAGGGGATTTATTAGCATTTAGTGGTGAGGATTGCAGATTGCAACCAGCTAAAACTTATCACAGTTAGGAGCACCTGCTAATGTGTGTTCATCTTTTTTCTGATCCAGATGTTCAGGAGGTTTTTACCAGTAGCCGAATATAGGTCTCCTCCTCTCCCCAATAAACTACATGTTACTTAAACTGCTACAAACACTGAATAGAGCAGTTTCACTTAAAAAAAAATCTGTGTTTTTCTATTGCTGCTCGTTGGTGAGGGTCTGCTAACTATGGTAAATGTCCCTATCTACAGCCAGTGTCTGGTATGTTCACTCTGGGCTACCTCCATAAACGAGGACCCGCAGCCTATGTAGATATAAATGGTTCATTCTAAGGTAATGAAAACACAACAATTCTTAATTTCAGGTGATTATACACTGAATAAATCATACTTATTATATTTCATTTCTGCCAATATATTCCCATAAATCCTACACACTGGACGTTTAAGGATAAATGACTGACAGAGGGAAAAACTGACTTCTTCTTTTCATGTTTTTTGCCTTTAGCCCATCAGATCATTAAAATGTCAGTCTAGCTGAAACCTGCAAATTTCTGCTCATGAAGATTTGCATTTGTTTGTTTCTACTGTGTTGCTCCAGGGTGGACACGTTGTCTATTGGCTGGTACTAAACCCATATTAGTGTATCAGTTTGATGTGTTGCCCAGAGCTTTCCTCAGTATACCATCCACCCACATTAAAGGCTTGAACTCTTGGTGGCCCTTGCAAAAAGGTGCCAAGCAGTCTACAGCTGACAGATCTGATTACACACTCCAGCCAATTACAGCACAGAGGTGAGGATGAAACTGGCCAATGGCATTACAGGTCAAAAGTTCAGCTGGCAAGAGAGAGGAGCAGGAAGTGAAGGCAGAGGGAGGTTAGGAAAAAATGATTAAAGTGGCCAAAAAGGAGACAAGATGATAAAAAAACAGATTGGATAGAACACACAATTAAGCATTTACTAACTTTAGAGAGGAGAGCTCTCTGATGAGTCCACAGATCAGCTCTGTAGCGTCTTCATGATGGTCTGGAGATCCAGGCTCTTCATCCCTCTCCATCACCTCCTCCTCACTGGATAAAGAGAAAGGGAAAAGTTGGATTGACTGAAACAGTGGCATATTACCTTGTATCCTAAATTTAAGGTTTTTTTATTTTACAAGAGTACGAAAATGTGTAGATAGGTTAACAGGAAAATTCATTGTTAAAAATGTTGACTTCTTTAGGATAAGATACGGAATTATACCAAATTAAACCTCTCTATCCGAATTCACTGCATGATAGTCACAGTTTTTTTGTTTTAGTATACCACCTTCCTTCTCTTACTTACTTTTTGATAGTGCTTGCTAACAATGTTTGTTCTTTCTAAAACCTGGAGTTCTTTCTTACGTCAGAACAATGGTATACAGCTGTGAGTCTGACACGTAATCCAAGCACCCAGATCCAAATGGGTCAGAGGAGTCCTGGGTCTCAGGGGGCTCAGCGTTCACAGTAGAAGGACCAGCACCAGGTTCATCATCATAATTGCACTGTGTGTAACAAAAATAAATCAACCAGTTCTGTAAAGTTAGGAGGTAAAAAGTAAAATATCTTCAGTAAATATCAATTTGATGAAGTTCATGTTTGTTCAGTGTCAGCGTTTCTTCCTTTAAAGGTTCAGTGTGTAGTATTTAGGGGGATGTATCGGCAGAAATGGAGTATAATATATTAAGTATGTTTCGTTTAGTGTATGATCACCTGGAAAGAAGAATCGTTGTGGTTTTGTTACCTTAGAATGAGTCGTTCATATCTACAAAGGGAGCGGGTCCTTTTCCATGGCATAAGCTCTGTTTCTACAGTTGCCCATAACAGACAAAGTAAACACTGGCAGCTCTAGATAAGGCCATTCACATTTTTGTGGCAGCCACTGTGGTTAGCAGCCCTTCCGTGACAAGCAGTGTCAGAAAAACACAGATTTTTTAAAGTGAAACTGCTTTTTCTGTGTGTTTATACTGGTTTAAATCACCAGGTCCATTTGTTATGGAGAGGAAGAGACCTCTGCAGGAAATTCGGCTCCCGTTAAAAACCTCCTGACGGTCTGGATGTGGAAGTTATCAGAGAAAAACAGTGAGTACACTGTGGCAGGTGCTGGGCTGGCAGCATGTCTCTGATGAGCCAAACTGTGTCAGAGAAACACTGATTTGTAATGTGAAACTGCTTTATTCAGTGTTTAAATATGGTTCCCCCAACCACCTGAAAAATGAACACTGAGTGAATCTAACCTGGAAAAGTTTTAGCTGGTTGCAATCTGCAATCCTCACCACTAGATGACACAAAATCCCCCTAAATCTTACACACTGATCAGATGTCTGTTAAAGATTACATGTTGCTTGTTAAGTATGCAGCTTCATATAAATTATTGTGTCGCTGCATTTGTTAATGTGATTTACAGTGAGACTGTTCCTAAACAACTTTTCTCAACTTTTCTCATCATTTCAACCTTTTCAACTGATCAAACAACTGATTCATTGTTTAGCCAATAAAATGTTTAAAAAAAACCCAAAACAAACAAAAAAAAAAAACAGTGAAGAATGCCCATCACAAACTCGGAGAGCTGTAGGTCACTTCATCAAAAACCGTTTTGTCCAGCTATTAATCCAGATCACAAAGATATTCAATTTATGATGATGTGTCAGAGAAGAGCAACAAATCTTCACATTTGAAAAGCTGGAACCAGCTAATATTCTGCATTTTCTCCTGGTTAATGACTTAAACAACTGCTCACTCAGGCTGATGATTAACTGTCTGGTGATCACCAAACTGATTGTTTCAGTACTAATTTATAGAACTTTAGTCGCTGGTGCTTTAGTCATAAACACTACACATTGTGTGATAATGCAAAGGCATGAAACCATGTGTAAAACACCGAACCAAAAAATGTCCTCTGATTTTAACTAACACCTCTGACAGTCTCAACAAAAGGCATAACTAAACTGGTAGCTGTAACTGTGTCCCACCACTCACTTTGTCTTTCCTCTCTGAGCCACTGGGTGTCACTGCAGCCTTACAGAGCTCCACAGCCTTGAATCCTCCTGAGCACCTGTCTGTGGATGAAGCACCTGCCTCACCAACCAACTCTCCCTTGCTCTCATCTCTTGTCCCGATCACACCATTCACCGACACAGGGGCAGCCTTGGCTGCATCCGGGTTTTCAGTCTCCTCATTTTGAGTCGGATTAGAGTAAAAAGTGATGGCAGGACTTTGGTCTACGACTGCTGACCCATCTTCTTTCATTTGTTCCTGAGGTTGTGCAGCCACAATCTCAGCTGTGTGTCCCTCAGGTTCCTGCTGCTCCTGGTTGCCCAGAAGCTGCTCCTTTTCCTCCTCTGCAGGTGGGTCTGACTTTGTGTCACCAGTTTGCTCTGGACCAGACTCTGTGCCTCCTTCAACCCCACAGCTCTTTCCCTTTGAGCAGCCTGGACTACTCACAGCTTCGGTGACATCTGAGATAGCATTGTGGATTTCAGTTTCTGCCCTGTGTGTGAACAAACAATGTTATCATCAAGGGGGAAATGAACAAATTGTCAGTGTAATTAGGTATCTTTTTGTGTATATGGAGTGTTTTCCAGGGATTTCAATTAAATATTACTGAAGGAGTGTATATGACTTAAAATGCTTCCATGATAGAGTACAGATTCCTCTTGACATTATTCTGACCTGTCATCCCCTCCACAATGACTGGACTGAAGTTTTATCTCTGCCTCCCTCCGCTCTGTGACACTGCCTACTGAGATGGACAGTGAGGATGATGAGGTGGGTGAAGATATAATCTCTTCCTGAGGCTGAAGGTCAGTTGTGTTAATACAAATCTGCTTCTCAACCCTTTCCGCTACTTTTTGCCCGTTTTCATGTTTTTGCATCTGTAGAAAGTGACTCCTCTCCCTCTCTGTCAGACCGCACATACCCATCCTTCTCTTCTTTTTGGCTGGTAACCCAGCTGCTGCTTCCTTTGGGATTTCCTTGACATCAGCCACGTACACACTGCCAGGTTCTTCTTGGCTGCTTTCCAAACTACCCCGAGAGTTCCCCTTTGCACCCACTTGCTCCTCCGGAGCAGATCCATCACCCTTTTCAGAGATTGGCAGGCAGACCTTGAGTTGATCGGCGCATTTTCGAGATGGTGATCTGTTACAATCCTCTCTAGTCATTTCCTCTTTGTCCTTTCCACTCTCATCAGCATCATTATCAGCAGGTACTCTAAAGACCTCCAGCTCAGTATCATTGTTGGGATTGGTGACTTCTTGCTCTTCCAAAGTTTTAGCCATCACATTTTTGAAGTTAACATTAGTTGCTTCTGCATGTTTTTCTCCCGTGGCAGGATCTTGTTTGGTGAGACAGGCTTGTTCTGCTGCCTCATGCTGTTGAGCTGAAATCATAGTAGACTCCTGCAGAGGGGACTGGTGGCACTGTAGCAGTGTTTCATTTACTGCTGTTTTATTTCCTTCAGTATCCTGAAAAAAAAAAAAAAAAAAAACTTGTTAAAAAAATGGCCTGATAAGATGTAAATGTAGGTCCTGTTTCAATCACCTACATTACCTGCTGATGGAGAGCAGCCTGAGCATCATCAGTCTCTGAGGTTTCATCACTTGGACATTCCCTCTTCCTGGACCTGAGTGTCCGAGGCTGGGGTGGAGCTGAGGTGACTTAACAGATAAGAACCAGCTCAATTAAAACAGTCACTGTAGCTGATTACACTGGTGGAATGTAACTAAGTACATTCACTCAAGTGTTATACATAAAGGTCCAGTGTGTAGGATTTAGTGACATCTACTGTTGAGGTTGCAGAACTGAAACTTCTCTCATGTTCCAAGCATGAAGGAGAACTGGATATCTGATGCAAAAACACAAATGGCCCTGTCTAGAGTCAGTGTTTGTCCATTCTTGGCTACTGTAGAACAACATGGCGGACCCCGTGGGAGACAACCAGCTCTGTATGTTAATATAAACAGCTCATTCTAAGGTAATGTAAAAAATCTTATTTTCAGGTGATTATACACTAATGAAAACAGTTATGAATATTATGTTTCATTTCTGCTAGTAGATGCCTCTAAATCCTACACACTGGACCTTTAAGTACAAATATTAGGTACTTTAACTTTACTTAAGTCTTGTCTTTCATGCTACTTTATACCTCTACTCCACTATATTTTAGAGAAATATTGTACTTTTTACTCCACTATATTTAGCTGACAGCTTTCCTTACTAGTTACTTTACAAATACAGATTTTTGCACACATAACATATGAAGAGTTTATAAAACATGAGTGTTTGTTTATATAACTATTTATCCAGCTCCTCAAGTGTGAGGATTTTTCTGCAACTACATGTTTCCTGATTATACTTGCATACTTTTTCTAAGGTACCATTTGCAGTGCAGTACTTTTACTTGTAACTGAGTATTTTTACAGTGTGGTATTTATGCTTTAACTTTAGTAAAGGATCTGAATACTTCCTTCACCACTGATTGATTAACACTTAAAATGAGCGTATTAATGATAAAGCGGAGCAACTGTGCACCAATCAGCCAAAAACAATAAAACCACAGCTGAGTGAAGTTAATAACATTGATCATTTTATAACAATGCAAGGTTAAAAAAAAAACAAAAACAGGAATCGCCCAAGAAAATAGACAAAGAGCTCAAGATGTCAACCTGATTCCCTAATTTCCCAGACCTCACTTTGATAGAGCATCCATGGGACATGCTGCTACCCCACCTCAAAACTGACAGTAGTCAAAGGATCTACTGCCAATCCCCTGCTGTCAGACAGCACAGGAGGTCCCCTGGAGGTCCTGTGTCTATGCCTTGACGGGTCAGAGCCAAGTCCAATCCAAGGGGCCCCACCATAGATCATGGTTACATCTGCTGTATCAGCACATCAAACAAATACTTGATAAGAGTGCCATGCCATGAGAGGGTGTACTTGCTCTTGGTCTGGAACAGTGTTTGGGTGGGTGGGGCACGCCAAGTGGCATCCATATGAATTTTAGGGACCCAAAGTTTTCCAGCAGAACATTGCATTGTAATAAAATGATCAATGCTATTCATTTCACCCACCAGTGTTTTTAATGTTTTGGCTGATTGGAGTATTTCAAGTAGTAATTATCATTAAGTTTCAACATTTAGGTCTTTAACAAATATCAAATAACCATACATTGTTTCTGTTCACATCAAAGTTAGCCCATGATATGTGATAATAGCATTTCCTTTACCACTGCTGCTCATCTTTGCCTTTCCCTTGGTCATCTTCTCTCCCTACAGGATAAAAAGAATAAACTGAGTGACAAAAATATAACAACATAGTAGGAAAAAATAGCTTTAAGCTAGCATAAATAATTCCCATTGTTACCTTACACTTGTATCTTGATGGTTAGCTAATAGCTAACAAATAGTTAATGTATTTGAGAGGCAGCTAGCTAACATCAACAAAGTTAAACTGACTGACTAAATGAAGTTGTAGATATGACTTGGATACTGAGTGAAATTACTGATGTTCAAATAACTAATTTAAGCTAATTAATTCCCAGTAACGTTAGATAAACACTGGCAAAACGCTGCCGTGTGTTTCTCCCACTGTAATAAAACTATCCACCTGAACCGTGGGCTGGAGGTGTAACGTTACTTCGTCGGTGCTTTACGTCAGTGATGGGTGTGCTTCGTGTAGCCGTAAAGCGCAATGTGTGTTGCCACTGGATACGCAATGGCGGAAGTAAATTCCACAGCCTACCGTTCTTGTTTTGACAGCCCAAACTAAACGTTAAATTACATCTTTCTGCTCGTATATGCTCTGACTTTTCTCCTGTCGTGTCTGAGCAGCGTTCACTCTAAATAACCGACCCGACTCGCTGTAGCACTAACGTCACGGTCCGCGGAACCGACAAGGTAAGTAGCTTGTCTGTGCATTCATTAGCTATGTAAAACATGTATGTTGTGCTAGCTGTTAGCCAACATGGGCTCAGAAGCTAACTTGATACAAGACAGTTTGATCAGTTTGGATTTATACACAAAATGACACAAAGTGGCTGGCAGTGAAGTTGACTCAGTACAGGTGGATATTCAGTTATCGATATGTTCTTCCTTTCCTCTTCTCTCCATTGGCTCAGTTACTTTAACCCCTCCTTAACTTTTAGGTCAGTCCATGAGTCGCAGTCGCAACCCCCCTGCTCGGGGTCAAGGAGCAGCCCGAGCCAAACAGGTAACATCCCTCATGTCTGATAATGAGATGTGTGATTAATATCTGCTGTTAGTATGTCAACAACAGGTATGATTCAGCACATGTCTCCCTGCCCTTCCTTATGTCTGTCTCACCTTGTCTCAGATGGGGCTGCTCCTTGACCTGTCCCCAGACGGAGGGATGGATGATGGAAATGATGACGAGCTGGAGGCAGAGCTGCTGAATCTGGTGGGCGGAGGTGGAGGGAGACCACAAGGGAAGAAAGGTGAAGGCAGAGGTGAGAAAAGTCATGTTTTCCTTGATGCAACTCAAAGACATCTACCAGTGTAAAGTACAGTTTTCTGTCTCTGTCTCATTCATGTGCTAGTGTTTAAATGTTGATATGCCAGATATGATTTAGGTGCTGTTTGTAATGTATTTGTGTACATACAGCTCCAGTTCCCATGGCTGATATAGAGCGAATGGCAGCTCTTTGTATGAAAGACCTGGATGATGAGGACATGGGGGATGACGATTTGGAGGATGATGAAGATCTGCTGGTAACACAAACCGTTTTTGTCCCTTTCCCTCCCACAGCTGAAGCAATTTTAGAAGTATCTTAAAAGTATGTTGATAAAGGATTTATTGTATCAGGCATTTTTTCAAACAAAAAATTGGGTATTGGCTGGTCCCAGCTTCTCCAGCATGCTGAATTTGCTGCTTTTCTTTGTTATATGATGATAGCAAACTAAATATATTGGGGTTTTGGACTACACATGTAATTTCAAGAGATCATTAGAAATTTTGTCATCATATTGTCACTCTATTTTGACACATCACAGTCTAAATGATTACTTGATTAATCGAGAAAAAGGTGAACAGATTAACTGGTAAAATTATAGTTTGTTTCCTTCCTAATCTTTAATCCCATTTATAATGTACTGATGAATCTTAGCTGTTTAATTGCTTTAACTATCAGTTTTTTTTAACCATGTATATGTATGTGTCTCTGACATAGGCAGAACTAAATGAGGTTTTAGAGGATGATGAGGAACAAGCTCCTGCTCCCACCCCTCCTGCCGTCACACCGACTGCTCCCAAAGTGAGCGTCACATCGCACTCTGCTCCTCCTGCGGCTCCCAGTGGTGCAACTGGGGTCGAGTCTTGCCTATTGGATCGCATAGACATGTATAAGACAGCCATTGCCAATGCCAAAGCTGCAGGGGAAACTAGCAAAAGTCGAAGATATGACCGTGGGTTAAAGGTAACAGAGAAAGAGAGTGAAAAACATAACACACAACCTCAGTACAAGTTGATCTCTATATCTTGCTGCCATTTACTTTTTTCAAATGTCTAAATGCACTTCTTATATATAAATCTAAAACTTGATATTTTAAACAAATGTGTTCTCTGTAATGTTAGAAACATATATTCATGATTTTTTTTCTTGTTGAACCCCTAGACACTGCAGTCCATGTTGACATCTGTCAGGAAAGGAAAACCAGTCAATGAGGAGGAGATGCCGCCTCCAGTTGCTCTCGGTGGAAAGCCCAACGTCCCAGCCGAGCCTGAATCGATCAAGGAGCGAGAACTGCAAGAACCCACACTCATGCCCTCTCCTCCCACAAATCAGAAACCTCTGAGGGAGGCTGCACCGACAGCTCCTAATGCCAAGCCGCTCCATCTGACCGTGCCCCAAAAGCCTGCTGCTGCCATTACCCCAGAAACACCTGCCATCTCTCCCCTCACCCCCAGCCAGCCTGACGCACAGCACTCAGGTAAACACTCAAGATATAATAATAATAATAATAATAACAATAATAAATACATTTTATTTAAAGGCACCATTCAAGGCACTCAAGGTCACCTTACAGAAAGTAACAGACAGTTAAATTTAAAAGGGGTAAAAGACACATCAAACATCAACAGTAAAAATGTGAAATCTGCAGCAGAGCAATGGAGAATAGGCCTGTTTAAAAAGGTGGGTTTTCAGATGGGATTTGAAAGTGGACAGTGAGTCAATGTTCCTGATGTCGGGAGGGAGGGAGTTCCAGAGGCGGGGGGCAGAGCGGCTGACACACAGACTGTTCTAGTCTACACACAGACTATTCTAGTCTACAGTACAGAGTACTCTGTGCAGGCCTCCACCTTGCCACTTCTTCTCTGTGCTGTGTACTGGATGTATGAGAGTAAAGATGTGGACACATTTGTCCATTCTAACACTTTGAATTCACCGACTTATTCTTCGACTGAAAAAGTCACGAATGATCAGATTAGCACTGCCTCATCTAAAACAACCGCTACATGATCCAGAGTGTCCGCAGGTCCTTAAAAAGTCTTAAAATGTCTTAAATACTCATTTACTAATAAAAGACCTAAAAAGTATTTAATTATCGTAAATTAAGATTTGATGGGTTGCAAGAATTTCTGGTGTTGCCGCTACGGGAAACATCATTTTAACAGAAGGGAAACACTATTTGACGCGAGAACAGATTCAACACAAAATGTGTATGTGTGCAATGCCCCTAATTTACCCCCTCTTTGCATTTAGATCTCGTAGTGAGTCTATTGTTAAATTAAAGCTTGTCAGGCTGCTTGTTCATTTATTTTCTCTTTGTAAGCCCACAGAGTATCATCAGTGTCATTTTCCCTTACTGTTCATTTTTTACTGACATCAGCGTGTTTACTTGGAAAGAGTATATATTCACTTTTGAGGTGTATTTCCATCCCAAGTTTGGTCTTTAATTCCTTTAAAATGGTCTTTAAAAGGTCCTGCGAAGTCTTTAATTCAATTTGTTTATTCCTGTAGTCACACTCATAATCACTTTTACTCATTTGTTACTGCTCACAAATGTCCCTGTTGTTAATGTGATCCAAATGAGCTTTTCAAATCTTTTTGTTTTTCTTCTTTTTTGTTCACTATTTTATTTTGACACACGCACAAACACGTATGTATGTCTTCCCTTCCTTCAGAGCTGAAACAGGCAGTGCTGTCCAGACAGAGAGAGTATAAGATAGCTGCCATACACGCCAAACAGAGCGGCAACATAGATCTGGCGAAACAGCACTACCTCATTGCCAAGGTAACAAAATTATTGTCTGTGTTATCACATGAATAAATCTCTATGTTTGTGCAAGTGTATATAGAAAAATTTGATCCTGATAGAGCTGACCTTCCTTTTTGCAGAAGCTGGACGTGCTGGTGGAGGCACTGGACAGAGACGAACCAGTAGACCTGAGCTCACTGCCTCCTCCTCCTGGTCAGTGTTGACACTAAAGGAATACTTTCCCCTAAAGTGTTTGACTTTTGTTTCAATTACTCACACACCATGGCCTGACTTCTTTACAAATGGGGTTTTTTCTCCAATTCCTTCATGGAGAACTGAGTGGTATCAGTGCATTTTTGTTGACCTTTCCAGCTTCTGATACTCTTAACCACTGCATTTTACTAAACAAATTATATTTTCTTGGTTTGGAGGATCACCCTCAAACCGGTTTTGTGCATATTTGTCTGATAGATCACAGGCTTATAACATCCACTTTATGGCTCTTTTCCAATTCAAGCTGCGTCTAGATTACAGCCTGTCTTTTAATGTTCTTCAGACATCACTGCTTAACCTCAAATTTATACTGAATACTGATGAGACAAACTGTTTTATTCTCAAGAGGCCATACTTCTGACCTGCATCTTCCTCCTGTCTGTAAATACATAATGGCACTGAAGTTGAGATCATTCAGTCTTATAGATATTTGTGAATTAGATTTCACCTTAAAACAGCTTGCTGCAGTTTACCACTGTGCCCTGTATTTTATGACAGAGAATAATATCATAATCTTTGTCACTGTGTGCTACATGAAAAAGTAGGCTGGTCCTCACAAACAACAAGAAGGCAACTACACTGTGTCATTTCTATGCCTCTGCACCAGCGGTAGTCGTAGCCGCGGGCATGTTTTTTGGGGTTGTCCGTCCATCCATCCCATTCTCATGAACATGATATCTCAGGAATGCCTTGAGAGAACTTACACAAATTTTGCACGAAAGTCCACTTGGAGTCAAAGAGCACCGATTAGATTTTGGTGGTTGAAGATCAAAGGTCAAGGTCACCATGACCTCACAAAACATGGTTTTGGCCATAACTCAAGAATTCATATGCTAATTGTGACAAAATTTCACGGATGTCTAAAAGCATAAAACGATGAATGATGACATTTTATATCTTAAAGGTCAAAGGTCAGCTTCACTGTGGCATCATTATTCCAAGTCATAACTCAGGAACAGAAGGGGAGACATTTGGTCAGACACTGAATTGGTGACACTAATCTTGGGTGTCC